TTTCTTGCACACGCTCACACCACGCATGCAACGCACGAACATATGATGGGAGGCAGACAGACGTGAATGCGAATGATAGCATCACACAACACCCTCTCCCAGGCACAAGATTAGCGAGCACAAGCGTAAGGGCTACACCGCCGTGGAGAAGTTGAAGTACGTCGCGATGATGGATGGGACGGTGTCGGTGCGCTCTCTGGCCCGGGAGCTTGGGATTCACCGAAAGTGTCTCGCCAACCGGAAGGCCGCAGCGGCGTTTCTCAAAGAAGCACACTCCGCACGGAAGCGCATGCATGGTCGAGGGAGGGCCTCGTGGTACCGCCCGATGGAGTTGAAGGTGTACGAGCGGCTCCTGGACTGTCGCCGCAAAGGAACCGCCGTGTCCTTCGGCCGTTTGCGGGAGTGGTCGCGGTGTCAGAATCCCAGTCACTAACCACTGGGATAAAAGGGCTTGTTTGTGTAGCGAGTGAGTGCGCCCATAACCCCCCAGGCCAACATGCCTGTAACCCTTCCCTAGGATCATCGGGGATCTCCAGTGGACCTCTGACACCCCCCCGCACTGGGATGCCCGAGGTGCACACACCGGGATTCGAACCCGAGACCTTCGCTCTGATACCATGTCAGAATCCCAGTCACTAACCACTGGGATAAAAGGGCTTGTTTGTGTAGCGGGTGAGTGCGCCCATAACCCCCCAGGCCAACATGCCTGTAACCCTTCCCTAGGATCATCGGGGATCTCCAGTGGACCTCTGACACGCGGGAGTTCATGAAGATCCTCTACCCTCACGACAAATGGCGTGGGAGTCAGAGGTGGTCGAAGCGGTTTCGGAAAAGGTGGAATCTGAGCGTCCGCATGAAGACGCGGGTTGCCCAGAAAACTGCCTCTCGTAAAAATCCGTTCACCGCTTTTATATCCCCTTGTTTTTCTCACGTACTAACCTGCCGTCTATCCCGCCTGCTCATCCCCTGTCTCACAAATGTCGAGGCGTAGTGCGAGTTGTTCTGGCGTTTTGTGCGAGCCATGCGTCGCGAGCGCAACATCGAGAACTGCTGGATCATCAACGCCGACCCGGCGCCGCTGTGGCTGGAGATGCCCGCCACCACCACCGTCGAGCAGACGGGCGTACGGTCGGTGCCCATAAGGAGTGGAGGCTACCAGAAGGAGCGTGTGACCGTGATGCTGGCGTGCACGGCGGACGGGGTGAAGCTCAAGCCGTGGGTGTTTTTCAAGAGGAAGACGGTGCCGAAGGGCGACTTTCCGCCAGGTAAGATATAGCAACTACCGCCGTCTTACCGTATGCTGTTGTTTCTCATGCCGCGCTAACAGTTAATGTTCCTCCTGTGTGTACAGATGTGGTCGTCGCATGCCACGAGAAGGGGTGGATGGACACAGAAGGCGTCATCCGCTGGCTTGACAGAAAGAGCCCTGATTTGGCAGGTGTGCAAAGAGCTCCATGCTCGTGCTGGACTCGTACCGCGGCCATCTTACCGAGGGGGTGAAGGAGAAGTTCCGCGAGCTCAACTGCGTGCCTGCAGTTATCCCGTCGAGATGTACGGCTGAAGTTCAGCCGCTCGACGTCTCCATGAACAAGAGCTTCAAGGCATCTGTGCGGCAGCAGTACCAGAAGTGGTTTGAGGAGGAGGGCCAAGAGCAGCTGACAGCAGCAGGTACGTTGTACCCGTAGTTTACGCATGCCTAATCCCTCCCTCCCACCCTTGGCTGCTGAATACCATTTCCCCGGTGTCTATGCGGTGGTGCAGGGAATTTCAGGAAGCCCCCCCCAGCAGTGGTCCTTCGCTGGTTCTCACGGGCGTGGAAACCAGTACCCTCCGACCTCGTCAAGCGCGCCTTCCTCACCTGCGGCATTAGCAACGCACTAGACGGCAGTGAGGACCACTTCGCCATGGCGCACAGGCGGACTCAGCTGTCGGCGGAAGTGGATGTCGACGACGACATCATCGCCGACGGCTTCTTTGGCAACAACTGCCTGGAGCCCGAATCTAACGAGGAGTAGTGTAACACCTAGGTAGAAAAGCGCCCCAAGGGGCCTGCTGTATGGCATAGTGTAGTGTTTTTTTAAGTCCTCGTACCGTGGTTCGAAATGATGTTTTAGTTTGTTAGTAAACAAAAATAATGGTGGCGCTTATAATAAGGAAGGGTACAAAAGGGGGGGCGCTTATAATTGAGGAACGGTCATAGGCGCCATGCTCCAGATAGAAGCGTCGGCGCCTGTAATAGGCCGGCGCCTACCGTCATACCCCGGTTATAAGCGCCACCCTCGGATAAGCGCCTGGCGCTTTTAATTGGCGCATGGCGCTTATATCCGCTGCTCGATTATAAGCGCACCTCTTGAAAAAACTTGTTTTATTATAAGCGCACGTAAACTTTAATTTTTGAAATGTGTTCAAAACGCTGTAACGAAATTTACTTTAGCAGGCGGATGTCTCCAGATTCGGTTCCCTTCACATTCGGACCCTGCACTGGATGCGGGTCCAGTCAGCAGGAGCTGTCAGAAGCTGTCAGAAGCTGTCAGGAGCTGTCAGATTTGGTGTATCTCCCAGTGCGCGCGAGAATTTCACAGACGACCCCACGTACCGTAAACGCCCGGATATAAGACAGTGTTGAATAGTAGACAGGGGTTGTCTACTATACGGGTGTCTCTTATAAACAGGCTAGCCTCATTATAAGACACCTATTTGTGTGTACGAGATAAGACATATATGTCTTATAATCGAAACTTCAATATATTATAGCGAAAGTTGAAATAACGCGTACATTTTTACCCTTGCGAAGCGCGAATTTCTCCACGCGCTGACCCAGGACCTACCAAATTTGCCTCTGCAGGTGTTCTCCATGACGTGGCGTCCCGGGCAGTGGTTGCCGAAGTGGCACCTTCGCAACATCCACACTCATTATGAGGAACTCTTTTTCAAGGAGTACGGAAAATATTTATAAGTAGTTTAAAAAGTTTCCATTTATAAGATTTATAAGACACCCTAAAGCATCCCGTTTACAAGATAACTCAAGCATTTTTTCCCGTGTACGAGATAAGACATATATGTCTTATATCCGGGCGATGACGGTAACTTCGACTCGATTGAAAAGGCAAGCACGAGATCTACAGCTTGGTGTTAAAAAATATATTAACTATATGTGTCGTTTTATAAACGCCGGCGCTTATAAATTTACTCGATTATAAGCCCACCCCCCTAAAAAAAACATGTTTTATTATTGCCCCCCATGTCAGAACTAGCAGTAGAAAGTAAGAATGAAGAAAGGAGGGTTTGCACTAGCAGCAGTTGGCATACATATAGGAAACCCTAATTGGGTTGTACTCGCTATAGAGTATCCCACTGCAGGCTAGACAATTATAACATTCTGACACACCCCCATAGCCAAAGTGGGGTGTAATCAGCACAATGAGCAAGCAAAGCAGTACAAGCTCAGGGTGGATCACAATGTCACCACACATTCTGAGCACAAGTTCAAGAAGCAATAGTTTAAAGTTCACAATTATGAGCAAAGCTAGTGGTAGTCACAACGGGCAAGTGAGGAGGAGGAAAGAGACTATGAGAGGAGAGGAGGTAGTGGGCGGCAGCTGAAGCTGCTGGCACACGGCGCAACTGGAGCAACTGGCACACGGGCAACTGGAGCAACTGGCACACTGGCAACTGGAGCAACTGGCACACGGGCTACTGGAGTAACTGGCTCCGCGGCTGAAAGTAGCGGCAGACGAGCAACGGACTCACGGGCGACTGGAGCAACGGGCTCACGGGCGACTGGCGCAACGGGCTCACGGGCGACTGGCGCAACGGTCTCACGGGCGACTGGAGCTGCTGGCTTCACGGCGGCCACCCCCTTCAACCTCCCCAAACTATCCCACTCCCCCTGACACACGCCCCCTGCTTCACCCCTAACTCCACTTGCACGCCACCCCCTCGTACCACTCCGACGGCTCCAACACATCCACCCCCCTCAGCGGCAGCTGCAGCAGTGGGAGACGGAGGAGGAGGAGGAGCAGGGGATGGCTGACAGAGACGGCACCCCCATACGCTCCACCCCCAAACCCTAATTCAGGAGCACGGGCAGCAGCAGGGGTGGGGCGCCGTCAGAAGCGCGGGGGACAGCGTGGAGCTCAAGGGAAGAGGAAACGGGGCGCCCACGGGCGTGGCGCAGCCTGTACGAACCGCGCGCGGGCGGCCCGAGGCGCGCCCTGGCCTGGCGCAGCCCGTACGGGCCGCGCGCGGGCCTGGCGCAGCCCGTACGGGCCGCGCGCGGGCCTGGCGCAGCCCGTACGGGCCGCGCGCGGGCCTGGCGCAGCCCGTACGGGCCGCGCGCAGGCTGTACGGGCCGCGCGCGGGCCCTACGCAGGTCGCGCGGGCCGCGACGGGCGACGGGGGGCGACGCGCGGGTCCCCGTCGCCCGTCGCAGCGCCTCCCGGGGGCGACGCGCGGAGTGACGGGGCAGAAAGCCGCCGCGCGCCTCGGGGCGCACGGCGGGCAGAAAACCGCCGCACGCTCCGAGCGCGCGGCGGGATGAAAAATCCGTCGCACGCCACGGGGCGTGCAACACACAGAGTAGCAGTAGCAGCGGAAGCAGTGAGGTGGTGGGCCCACCCACAGGATCGACCCAGGAGGGTCGACCTGCTCTGATAGCATGTCAGAACTAGCAATAGAAAGTAAGAATGAAGAAAGGAGGGTTTGCACTAGCAGCAGTTGGCATACTTGGAAACCCTAATTGGGTTGTACTCGCTATAGAGTACCCCACTGCAGGCTAGACAATTATAACATTCTGACACACCCCCATGGGGGTATATCCGGGGTATGATGGTATATCCGGGGCCATACGGTACTAGAATACCGTAAGACCCCCTTGGTCTTCCAGCCAGGGGTATACTACCGTACATCACTTCACAGGCCAACACTCCCTCCCATCCACATGCGACGCTAGTCAGCCGGTAGAAAGCCTACCCTCTCTCTCTTGCTGAAGCTGTCCAAGGTCACATACCAGGTGAACCTGCCTCTCCCTCTTGCCGCCGCCCCTCCTGCCACGCTTGCTGCCGCTGCTCCCCCTGCTGCTCCTGCTGCCCCTGCTGCTCCCATCGCCGCCTCCCCCACCGCTGCCCCCCCTCTCGCTGCCCCCTGCCTTGCGTGCGGGCAGCAAGGCGGGGGTCCGCCACGGAGGGCGGCAGGTGGGCGAGGTGGAGGCGGCGCCGGCGCTCGTCGGCGTTGACGGTGCGGAAGCGCAGCGCCTGCAGCACGCCCTCCGCGCGCGCCACGCCCTCGGACAGACCGGAGCACAGGCAGCGCCGCCGCAGGCGCAGCAGCAGCGGGCGCGACGGCGTGAAGCCCGCCTCCACCTGCGAGCAGAGGCGGTGGACAGAGGGGAGTATATGGGGAAGGCGGGAGGACGGGGGGAGGAGAGGGGGAGGGCAGGCGAGGGGGGTGGGAGAGGGGGAAGGCAGGCGGGGGGGGGGGAGTGGGCGAGGTAGGGGGGTGGAGAAGGAAAGGGGGAGGGAAAGGGAGCGAAAACAGTGCAGCTGATTAACTGCTGCTGTGCTCCATGCACCCCTGCTGCTGATCACAGGCAGTGCCCTGGCAGGCGCAGCAGGAGAGGGTAAACGGACACAACCGGGCTGAGAACGAGTGGCGGGGGGGAAAGGAGATGGCGATTTCAAAAAGCGCCAAGCAGTGGAGACGGTGAGGAAAGGAGTGCCCTCAACCCCGCATGCCCTCAACCCCGCATGCCCTCAACCCCGCATGCCCTCAACCCCGCATGCCCTCAACCCCGCATGCCCTCAACCCCGCATGCCCTCAACCCCGCATGCCCTCAACCCCGCATGCCCTCACCTCAACCCCGCATGCCCTCAACCCCGCATGCCCTCAACCCCGCGACGAGCAGTGGAGACGGTGAGAGAAGGAGGCACGCCAAAGGGATTGAGCAGGTGAAGGGAGCACGGCTCACCATTTTATCCATGGCGATGCATGCCCCTGGTGCATCGAAGGCGCGGATGTGGGCGTCGACAAGGATGGTGTAGGTGTCAGTGGTGGGCGGCAGGTGCAGTGTGCGCGTCATGTGCTCAAACAGCTGCACCACCGTGCGCACCTGGGGGGGGGAGAGGTGTTAAGGAATAGAGGCAGGGAGGGAGGGAGCGAGGGAGGGAGGGAGGGAGGGAGGGAGGGAGGGAGGGAGGGAGGGAGGGAGGGAGGGAGGGAGGGAGGGAGGGAGGGAGGGAGGGAGGGAGGGAGGGAGGGAGGGAGGGAGGGAGGGAGGGAGGGAGGGAGGGAGGGAGGGAGGGAGGGGGAGGGAGGAGGGAGGGAGGGAGGGAGGAGGAGGGAGGAGAGAGGGAGGGAGGGAGGGAGGGAGGGGGGAGGGAGGGAGGGAGGGAGGGAGGGAGGGAGGGAGGGAGGGGGGAGGGAGGGAGGGAGGGAGGGAGGGAGGGAGGGGGGGATAGAGGGATGGAGGGAGGGATGGGGGGGGGAAGAGAGGGGGGAGAGAGGGATGCGGGGAGGAGGGAGGGAGCGAGGAGGGGGGGAGGGGCAACGCTGCATGTGACCTCCAACTCATATAAGCCACTCCGCCATGACAATCCACGTGGGCACTGTATGAAAGCAAGAGTCCAGATTCACCGCATCAGCCCCCTCATCCGTGCTGTGTTTCCCTCTCAGTTGACTCATGCGCGCTTGCTTCGCAGCTTGACAGTCAAGTCAACGGAGGCAACTCACGTCAGCGACGCCCGAGTAGCAGTCCATGAGCGCGTTGAAGGAGTGTGTGTCGGGCTGCAGGCCGAAGGTGCGCGTGATCTCATCCAAGGTGAGCTGAGCGCGCCCCACGTCGCGCTGCATGGCACACCCCGCCACCACGCAGTTGAGTGCTGCCAGTGCCACCACCTCGCCCTGCGCGTGCATGCCCTCCAACATGCTGTAGCCCTGTGGTGGGTGGGACAGTGGGGAGAGGGGAGAGGAGGCAGGCTTCTGAGGCGCCTCAGAAGTTGAGTGCCGCCAGCGCCACCTCACTCTGCTCGTGCATGCTCTCCAATGTGCTGTCGCCCTGTGTGGTGGGTGGGAGAGAGTGGAGGGGGTGGAGAACCGGGGGGAGCATGGTGAGGTCTGGCTACCCCAGCGTCGCCCCTAGCTAGCTGACCCCCAGCTCCCCCCTGCGCGGCCCCTGCGAGCCTGCGGCACACCTTATCAAGCACGCCCACATAAGAGCACAGCGCCAGCAACGTTGAGACGACTCAGAAGTTGATTTAAAGTCGTATCCAAGTTGTCTCACCAGCGTGCCCCCCATGGCTCACCTTATCGAGCACATCCACGCTGGAGCACAGCGCCAGCGTCAGCGGCCGCAGTGACGTGAACGGGTTCAGCTCCTCCAATGGCGCGCCGCTACCTGTCACCCCCCCTCTCCCCCCGCCAGCCCCTCCCCCTCACCCCCTGCACCTGCAGCACCAGCCGCTCCCGGCAGCGGCAGCGTGTAGCGAAAGCAATCGTCCTGGGGAGCACCAGGTTGCACCGGGGCGGAACTTGGGGAAGGCGTGGAACCAGGGGGGGAGGTCGTTGGGGCGCGCGAGCGAGGGTGCAGCAGGAAGTCTGCAGGTGCAGCGCGGCTCGGAAGGCGCAGGGGAAGTTGGCCGCAGCGCTGTAGGCGTGGATGCGCGCGAGGTGGAAGGCGGGGGAGGGCGCGTAGGGGCGGCGCACGAGGCGGTCCCACACGTGCTCTATGAGGGGCGTGTGGCCCGCCCTGGCCGCCATGTTGGCCACTCGCAGCATGAGCCCGTCGTGCACGTACTCACGCTGCTCCTGCATCAGCTGGTGGCAGGGAGGAGAGGCACGGGGAAGAAAAAGGTGCGGGAAATTGGAGCGTGGGCAGGGGGCGAGCGTGGGGTGGGGAAGGAGGAATGGGAAGGGGAGGGGATGCGAGAAGGAGGGTGAAAGAACTGGAGGGTGTGGGTGGGGTGGAGGAGGAGGAGGAGGAGGAGGAGGAGGAGGAGGAGGAGGAGGAGGAGGAGGAGAAGGAGGAGGAGGAGGAGGAGGAGGAGGAGGAGGAGGAGGAGGAGGAGGAGGAGGAGGAGGAGGAGGAGGAGGAGGAGGAGGAGGATAAGTGCACCTGCATGGCGAGATAAGCGCAGTCATAGTCCTCGGTGTCCACAGCCGTCATGAGCGCATGCTCCACGGCCCGGCCCTCCATCTCTATTGTGCGCCTGGGCATGGGAGGGGGGGTGCATGGGGAGGGTGCATGGGGTGGGTGCATGGGGTGGGTGCATGGGGTGGGTGCATGGGGTGGGTGCATGGGGTGGGTGCATGGGGAGGGTGCATGGGGTGGGTGCATGGGGTGGGTGCATGGGGTGGGTGCATGGGGTGGAGTGCATGGGGTGGAGTGCATGGGGTGGGTGCATGGGGTGGGTGCATGGGGTGGGTGCATGGGGTGGGTGCATGGGGTGGGTGCATGGGGTGGAGTGCATGGGGTGGGTGCATGGGGTGGGTGCATGGGGTGGGTGCATGGGGTGGGTGCATGGGGTGGGTGCATGGGGTGGGTGCATGGGGTGGGTGCATGGGGTGGGTGCATGGGGTGGGTGCATGGGGTGGGTGCATGGGGTGGGTGCATGGGGTGGGTGCATGGGGTGGGTGGGTGCATGGGGTGGGTGCATGGGGTGGGTGCATGGGGTGGGTGCATGGGGTGGGTGCATGGGGTGGGTGCATGGGGTGGGTGCATGGGGTGGGTGCATGGGGTGGGTGCATGGGGTGGGTGCATGGGGTGGGTGCATGGGGTGGGTGCATGGGTGGAGTGCATGGGGTGGGTGCATGGGGTGGGTGCATGGGGTGGGTGCATGGGGTGGGTGCATGGGGTGGGTGCATGGGGTGGGTGCATGGGGTGGGTGCATGGGGTGGGTGCATGGGGTGGGTGCATGGGGTGGGTGCATGGGGTGGGTGCATGGGGTGGGTGCATGGGGTGGGTGCATGGGGTGGGTGCATGGGGTGGGTGCATGGGGTGGGTGCATGGGGTGGGTGCATGGGGTGGGTGCATGGGGTGGGGTGCATGGGGTGGAGTGCATGGGGTGGGTGCATGGGGTGGGTGCATGGGGTGGGTGCATGGGGTGGGTGCATGGGGTGGGTGCATGGGGTGGGTGCATGGGGTGGGTGCATGGGGTGGGTGCATGGGGTGGGTGCATGGGGTGGGTGCATGGGGTGGGTGCATGGGGTGGGTGCATGGGGTGGGTGCATGGGGTGGGTGCATGGGGTGGGTGCATGGGGTGGGTGCATGGGGTGGGTGCATGGGGTGGGTGCATGGGGTGGGTGCATGGGGTGGAGTGCATGGGGTGGAGTGCATGGGGTGGGTGCATGGGGTGGGTGCATGGGGTGGAGTGCATGGGGTGGGTGCATGGGGTGGGTGCATGGGGTGGAGTGCATGGGGTGGAGTGCATGGGGTGGGTGCATGGGGTGGGTGCATGGGGTGGGTGCATGGGGGTGTGCATGGGGTGGGTGCATGGGGTGGGTGCATGGGGTGGAGTGCATGGGGTGGAGTGCATGGGGTGGGTGCATGGGGTGGGTGCATGGGGTGGGTGCATGGGGGTGGGTGGGTGCATGGGGTGGGTGCATGGGGTGGGTGCATGGGGTGGGTGCATGGGGTGGGTGCATGGGGTGGGTGCATGGGGTGGGTGCATGGGGTGGGTGCATGGGGTGGGTGCATGGGGTGGGTGCATGGGGTGGGTGCATGGGGTGGGTGCATGGGGTGGGTGCATGGGGTGGGTGCATGGGGTGGGTGCATGGGGTGGGTGCATGGGGTGGGTGCATGGGGTGGGTGCATGGGGTGGAGTGCATGGGGTGGGAGTGCATGGGGTGGGTGCATGGGGTGGAGTGCATGGGGTGGAGTGCATGGGGTGGGTGCATGGGGTGGGTGCATGGGGTGGAGTGCATGGGGTGGAGTGCATGGGGTGGGTGCATGGGGTGGGTGCATGGGGTGGGTGCATGGGGTGGGTGCATGGGGTGGGTGCATGGGGTGGGTGCATGGGGTGGGTGCATGGGGTGGAGTGCATGGGGTGGGTGCATGGGGTGGGTGCATGGGGTGGGTGCATGGGGTGGGTGCATGGGGTGGGTGCATGGGTGGGTGCATGGGGTGGGTGCATGGGGTGGGTGCATGGGGTGGGTGCATGGGGTGGGTGCATGGGGTGGGTGCATGGGGTGGGTGCATGGGGTGGGTGCATGGGGTGGGTGCATGGGTGGGTGCATGGGGTGGGTGCATGGGGTGGGTGCATGGGGTGGGTGCATGGGGTGGGTGCATGGGGTGGGTGCATGGGGTGGGTGCATGGGGTGGGTGCATGGGGTGGGTGCATGGGGTGGGTGCATGGGGTGGGTGCATGGGGTGGGTGCATGGGGTGGGTGCATGGGGTGGGTGCATGGGGTGGGTGCATGGGGTGGGTGCATGGGGTGGGTGCATGGGGTGGAGTGCATGGGGTGGAGTGCATGGGGTGGGTGCATGGGGTGGAGTGCATGGGGTGGAGTGCATGGGGTGGGTGCATGGGGTGGGTGCATGGGGTGGAGTGCATGGGTGGAGTGCATGGGGTGGGTGCATGGGGTGGGTGCATGGGGTGGGTGCATGGGGTGGTGTGCATGGGGTGGGTGCATGGGGTGGGTGCATGGGGTGGAGTGCATGGGGTGGGTGCATGGGGTGGGTGCATGGGGTGGGTGCATGGGGTGGGTGCATGGGGTGGGTGCATGGGGTGGGTGCATGGGGTGGGTGCATGGGGTGGGTGCATGGGGTGGGTGCATGGGGTGGGTGCATGGGGTGGGTGCATGGGGTGGGTGCATGGGGTGGGTGCATGGGGTGGGTGCATGGGGTGGGTGCATGGGGTGGGTGCATGGGGTGGGTGCATGGGGTGGGTGCATGGGGTGGGTGCATGGGGTGGGTGCATGGGGTGGGTGCATGGGGTGGGTGCATGGGGTGGGTGCATGGGGTGGGTGCATGGTGGAGTGCAAATACGCACTTGGTGCACCCTGGAGGGCATTGCAGAGGGCGGATGGCAGAGGGCACACACAACCCAATGCAGCGGCACACTCTTCCCCCCACACGCACGTTAACCATCTTGACCACAGCAATGGCATCACAGGAGCGCCGCGTCTGCAGGCATGTGGCGACGGCAGCGCACAGGCGCACCCACACTCCCCTGCAGCGGCACACCCACACTCCCCTGCAGCGGCACACCCACACTCCCCTGCAGCGGCACACCCACACTCCCCTGCAGCGGCACACCCACACTCCCCTGCAGCGGCACACCCACACTCCCCTGCAGCGGCACACCCCCACTCCCCTGCAGCGGCACACCCACACTCCCCTGCAGCGGCACACCCCCACTCCCCTGCAGCGGCACACCCCCACTCCCCTGCAGCGGCACACCCCCTTCCCCCGTCCCCGTGCACACCTTGACCACCTCGAGCACCGTGATGGCGTCCCGTGAGCGCCGTGTGTGCAGGCACGTGGCGAGCAGCTCCGACACGGCCCGGGGGGACGGCACCATGCGCGCCCGGCGCATGTCCGCCACCACCTGCAGCGCCGCCTGCATGCGGCGCTCCTTGGCACACAGCGCTACCGCCTCGCTGTAGCTGCCCGCCTCTGGTACCACCCTCGCATCGCCCATGCTGCCGTGCCGTTAGGGCGTGGAGTGAGAGGGGGGTATATTGAGAGGAGAGCGGGGGATGGGTGGGGGATGGCGGGGATGGGAGGGAGGGGAGTGGAGGGAAGGGGCGCGCGGGTGGGTGGGAGCGGGAGGGGCAGCATGAGCGGTGGCAGGGAGGGCAGGGAGGGAGGGGTGGGAGGGGGGGGCGGGGAGGGGGTTGCAGGAGGCAGCAGGGCATACTTGGAAAAACCGGTGGTGCAGTGAGCAAGGCAGAGCGGTGTCTCAGAGTCAAACCAAACCACCAAACCCCAATCCCCTTGCCCCCAAGTAGTATGCAGCATGCTCATGCACCCCAAAACCCCCCGTGCCCTCAACTCGCTCCTCCTTACTCCCCCAAACCGCCAAACCCCAAACCCCAACCCCAACCCCCTTGCCCACTGCAAACAACCTCTTCTCCCCCCCTCCCCCTCCCCAGCGTGCGTTGCGCCCCACCCACGCGCTCACGGCCCACCCACGCCCTGACGGCCCAACGCACTGGGTGAGGAAGAGCAGCACGGCGCTGGCATCGCGGCGGGCAAGGGCGGTGCGCAGAAGCACGTGGAACGTGTCCTTCGACGCCCGCACGCCCTGCGCGCCCTGCGCGCGCATCTCCCTCATCGCTCGCACCACTCGCTGCACCGCCTGCACGGGCGGCCCCACATGCATCAGCGCGTGCAGGTACAGCTGCCACGTCATTAGCGGCAGCGCCTCCTCGCGCTCCTTCCGTAGCTGCGCCTCAAACTCGTGAGCACCAGCAGCCGGCGCAGGAGCGCCCCCTGCCTCGGTTGCGCCACCCCTGCGCCCGCGCCCTTGTCCTTGCGCATCCACGCGCGGAAGAGCGCAACCGATTCGCGGAAGCGCGCGCTCCTGGCGAGCTTCTCCTGCCCCTCGTACAGCTCCGCCAGCGTCGCCAGCCCCGCCGCCTGCTGCACTGCCGCCTCCGCCTCCGCCTCCGCCTGCCCCCCCGCGCCCATCGCGCGGGCATACGCGCTTGCCCCGCCGTCGCTGCTCCGCGCCACATCCGATGACTCCTGCGCGCTAGCATCAACGCCGCTATCATCCGACGCGACATCCTCACGTGCCTCGCTATAGACATCATCGCTTTCGTGCGACTGCGCAAGATCGTCAGCAGCTACACTCAGCACGTCGCGGTAAGACGACCCACCTAACCCAGATACTGCCGCCCCGCCCTCCTCTCCCGCATCCTTCCGATCGCTGCTACTGGCCGAAGATCCGGGATCTATTCCAGCCGTTGATCGGGGGAAAATGCTAGCCGTTGATCCCGCTGCTCTGCACCCGCTAAAACTGCGCTGAGATGGCCATGATGACGTCAGCGAGATCTGGCGAAGGAACGAGCGAGCCACGTCATTGGTGAGGATGCGGTGGTAACCACCGCAACCTGGACGGACGGCTAGGGGATGACGAGATCCTGCCGATCCCGGATGGAAGGCTGTGGATGCTGGAGGGACGACGACGCGCGATTGGATGTGGGCTACGAGCGGGGGAGAAACGAAGGCGGACGAGACACGAGCGGCGGGAGCGGCGGACGGGTGGGAAGGTGGATGTTCTGACAGGACCGATCGCGATAGATCAGTCGCCGTCTGATCCGGTGGGGAAGCAGCGGTCGCCAACGAGCCGCGCGCAGGATCTACTCGCCACAATTCACGCTGATCAAGCGCGGCGAAGGGATCGGATGGAACGAGGAGCGGCGCAGCCGCAGCGGCGAGAGTGGCGCCGCACGACGACGCGCACGCCGCCACGGCCGTGGGCACGCTGGCCAACGCGGATCGCGACGCCATGCGGACGCGCCACCGCGAGCGAGCAAAAGACAAAGTGGAGAAGCGGGCAGGAGTTCCTTTCTTAAGCGAGTAAAGAGTGTTCGAACAAGCATAAAGCGGCGGTATACATTTGGCAGTTGCGCTGAGCTACAGTGTGCATATCGAAATCGCTTGGACGAAAACAAAGAGCTTGGCGAGATGCCGGGTGGCGAAAAAAAACACTTCTGGGGTGCTTGGAGGCGAACTTCCAACAGTACGCCAGGGTTGGGCGGGGGGGGAGGGTTGTGCTGTGACAGTAAAAACGCTCTCGTCACCTGATCATGGAGTGACACACTCACATGAAAAACAAGAGGCGACGAAATCGTCTTAGGGTTGCGAAGCGTTTAGGTAGAAGAATCAATTTGTTGAGATTCTATGTGTAACGAATTACAATTCCTTACTGTACTCGCACTTTAGCGAGTACATCCCGAGGGTGTCGCGACGAACCTGCGATGCCTATTTCGTCGCACCGAACCACCCCCGAGTCGGCCTCCGCTCCAATCGTAGCCATCACCGAGCCATCCCATCCCGAACCCCCCGCCTAGCTAGGTTTTCCCTGTCAGAATGAACGGACTGGAATGGTTGAACTAACAGTGAAATCAGTACAAGTACCTAACCCTAGAATTGTGTACCCCCTATAGGCTAACCCACTGTAGCCAAAATAAACACAACATATATAATGTTTGACACACCCCCAAAGGCAAAGTGGGGGAGAGCAAGGGGTCACAAGATCAGTCAAAGCAAAGCAAAACAAGCTCAGGGTGGATCTCAAGGATACCACACAAATTCCGAGCACAAGCAAGTGGTCACAAGACCAGTTCACATGCAGGTTGATAATATAACAAGAGATACAGTGATCACAACCTAGCAAGTGTAAACATGCAGGCATATATATAAAGATCACAGTACAAGCAAAGTCAAGAAGTAAGTAAGTGAGGTCCAGCAGGCACAAGGCCTAGAAGAGTACAGAAACGCTGATGGTCACAAGGCTGAAGCGCCTTGGTGAACACATCAGCAAGGTTGGCCTCAGTGGCCACGTAACGCAGACGAAGCTGACCACGCTGCTGCAGCTCTCGAGCAAGGAAGTACCGCAGGGCGATGTGCTTCTATCTGTGCTCCAGTCTGTGCTCCTCACACAGGGCAATGGCTGCCTGGTTGTCGACGTACAGCACTGGAGGAGAACGAGGCCGCTCTCCCAAGTCGGTCAGCAGGTAGGTCAGCCAGCGTAGCTCCTGGGCAGCCATGGCTGTGGCGTAGATCTCAGCCTCACAACTGGAGCTGAGAACAGAAGAAGAGCGTGTAGAACGCCAAGAAACTGAGCCGGAGCCAAGGCTGAAGGTGTAACCCTAAGACGACCGCTGAGTAGCCTGGTCGTCCGCCCAAGAAGCGTCTGAGTGTCCAATAAGTACAACTCGGTCTCGCCCTCCAAGCACTAGCCCCATGCCCGACGTACTGCACAAGTAGCGCAACACCCTCTTAGCGGCATCCATGTGCTCCTTCCTGTGACGGCCAGGAGCGACATAGCGTGCAAGGATGCTAAGAGGGTATGCAAGGTCAGGTCGAGTACAGGTCATCAGGTACATAAGGCAGCCCACAAGCTCTGGATACGGGCCACTCGGCTCTACGGACTCATCCGAAGGCAGAGCTGAGAGCGAGTGACCGGTAGGCAGAGGAGTGGACTGAGGCGAGGAGTACGTGAAGCGGAAGCGCTGAAGGATCTGCTGCACCATGTGTGACTGAGTCAAGGTGATGGTGCGCCGTGCTCTGTCCCGGGTGATCCGCAAGCCAAGATAGCTTGTCAGTTCACCCAGGTCTGTGCACGTGTATCTCCTCTGCAGCTCCGACTTCACGTGGGCGAGTGCCGCGGTGTCAGCAGTGGCAAAGACCAAGTCGTCGACGTACACGAGGATGTAGAACGGCGGCAGTGAGGTGTCTGTGCGTAGAAACAGTGACGGGTCAGCAGTAGAGGGAGCGAACCTAAGAGCCGCAAGTGTCGTCCTCAGTGTGTCGTGCCACTCACGCGGTGCCTGGCGGAGACCGTAGACCGGCCGCTGGAGCCTCCACTGGGTACCAGGAGGAACCGACCCAGTGAAGCCAGGAGGGCGGCGCAGCCAGATCTCCTCGTGCAGGCTGCCCTGCAAGAAAGCAGTGCTGAAGTCAAGAGAGTGAAGCTCGTAGTCGCGCTGAGCGGCTATGTGCAGCAGCACCCGAAGTGTGGTCATCTTCGGGGTGGGGGAGAAGGTCTGAAAGAAGTCAACTCCCTCTCGCTGACTGAAGCCTCGAGCCACGTAGCGCGCCTTGAAGACTGGAGGAGAATCCGGTGGCCGCTTCACCCTGAAAATCCACATGCCACTGACGATGTTCGCCCCAGGTGGGGGAACCTCGTCGACGTAGGTGCCTGTGGACTTCCAGGAAGCCATCTCTGCGTCCATGGCTGTCTGCCACTGAGAGGAGTAGGGACCCGCCATCGCCTCAGCGTAAGAGCGCGGGGTCGGGATGTCTGGTGCATCCGGGTCTCCCTCAGGGGCAACTAGCATGGACACGAGGTGGGGCAAAGCAGTAGCAAAGCACTGGAACTCCTCCTGTCTGTCCTCAAGGACGTCCGTGCTAAGAGCACACGCACCCCCGACGGATGGAGGACAGACAGACTCAGACTCAGCAACAAGGCTAGCGGCGTAGTCTAGACGACACGTGGCAGCAAAGTCTATCAACTCAGCGACCAGAGCAGACGCAGCAGAGGACTCAAAGGTAGGGTCAGTGACAACAGTGGCGAGAAGACGGGTGACCGTGGGACTGGCAGCACGACGGGAGTCAGACTCCGGGTCAGGAAGAGTAGGCAGAGAGGACGCAGGAGGAGACGGCAGCGGGACACGCTGAGGAGCAGTGGAGGGACGCAGAGTCATGTAGTGAGTGCCAGGGACAGGAGGAGGACGCTCACGTGGGACATGACGACCAGTGCGAGCAGTACGAACAGGCGACGCAAGACGAGACGCAGGCTCACGACGCTCTGCAAGACCTCCTGTGGGACCAGTGTAGGGAGAGGGACCAGGAAGAGGCGAGGCAGGCGGTAACTGTGACTGCGACTGGACAGGCGGAGGACACTCTACGGAGGGAGGAGGACGAGGAGGAGGAGCCTGACCAAGAACCTGCTGAAGGAGCGGTACGAAGTACGGTCGCGGCCGCGTAGCGTCTCCAGAAGCAGCAGAGACACCAGCGCTAGGGTCCTCAGCACCAGCAGCAGCTCCACCGCCCGAGTCCTCAGCACCAGCAGGAACTCCACCAGCCGGGTCCTCAGCACCAGCAGCAGCTCCACCGCCCGGGTCCTCAGCACCAGCAGCAGCTCCACCGCTCGGGTCCTCAGCACCAGCAGCAGCTCCACCGCCCGGGTCCTCAGCACCAGCAGGAACTCCACCAGCCGGGTCCTCAGCACCAGCAGCAGCTCCACCGCCCGGGTCCTCAGCACCAGCAGCAGCTCCACCGCTCGGGTCCTCAGCACCAGCAGCAGCTCCACCGCCCGGGTCCTTAGCACCAGCAGGAACTCCACCAGCCGGGTCCTCAGCACCAGCAGCAGCTCCAACGTCCGGGTCCACAGCACCAGGAGCACCACTCCGAAGACTGCAGCGCCTCGTGTACCACTCTCGGATCTGCTGGAGGGGGGGGAGCTCCCGGGCAGGAGGGGAAGCACCGCGACCAGCTCCAGCAGTACCTCTCCGGAGGCGGCAGTACTGTAGGTACCGCTCCTGCAGCCGCTGTGAGGAGAGGGCTCCTCCAGGTGTAGTACCCCCAGACTCAGCACCCCCAGGCTCCGCACCCGCAGACTCAGCACCCTCAGGCGCACTACCCTGAGGCTCAGCACCCCCAGGCTCCGCACCTCCAGACTCAGCACTCCCAGGCTCAGCACCCCTAGACGCAGCACCCCCAGGCTCAGCACCCCCAGGCACAGCACCCCCAGCAGGACGAGAGTCAACAGCTACCTCGACCGGCTCACCCGGGTCTACCTGGGACACACCTGAGGGAGCGGCACCCTGAGGGGGGAGGGGGTCTGGTACCTCAGCACCTGGAGCCAGGAAGAGAGGCGGGGGGGGGAGTGGGGCAGTGCGGTAGGGGAAGAGGCGGTAGTAGGGGACGGACTCGTCAAAAGTGACGTCCTGAGAGGCCAGGACACGACGCGAGGTGGCGTGGTAGAACTGCCAACCAGGCGCGTCCGGGACAAAGCCAAGGAAGACACAAGGGACAGCGCGACGGGAGAGCTTGTCCGCGGACGTGTCGCGAACAAAAGCTCGGGATCCCCAGACCCGAAAACGCGACGCATCGCCAGCCTCTCCCGTCCAACGCAGTGTCGGAGAAGTCTCCGGTAAGGAGACACGGGGCCAGAGGTTGAGCTGATGCGCAGTGTATCGGACTGCAAACGGCCACAGAAAGTGGGGGGCAGCCGCATGAACCAAGGAGGTACGAGCGACCTCCATGACCAAGCCAATGCGGCGCTCAGCAACCCCATTCTGCTGTGGAGAGGCCGGAAGCGTGAACGACTGCTCAATGCCCTCCTGCTGACAGAAGGCCTCCAAGAGGCCAGAGGAAAACTCCCCACCTCTGTCAGAGTGCAGACGCAGGACAGGGAAGTCGGAGCGGAAACGCTCACTGAGCTGGAGACGAGATCTGCGGATCCAAGGGATCAAGACATCAGGGACGTCACCCTTGGTGCGCAAGGGGAAGACCGTGGTGTAGCGCGAGAAGTCGTCAACAACAATCAGGAAGTACCTCTCCTGACCCTGACCACGGACGCGGGCTGGGCCCCACACGTCCATGTGGAGCGTCTGCAAAGGAGCAGTCGTCGGGGGAAAGGAGGAGGAGTGAGGAGCGGCGCGCTGCCGCCCCTCGACACAGGGAAGACAGGGAGGAGCAGGCGAGGGTGGGAGGGGAGGGAGAACCCTGGGAAGACCAGCAACAAGGTCCCGTTTGTGCATGGCCCGAAGGCGCTGCAC